ACCCCCGGCGGCCGCCCCGCGGTGCGCTGGGTGCTGCTTGGGTGCCCTCCCTCTTTCCCCTCCCTCCTCCTTCTCCTCCTCCTCCTCCTCCGCCTCCTCCGCCTCCTCCGCCTCCCTCCTCCTCCTCCTCCTCCTCCTCCTCCTCCTCGTCCTCCTCCTCCTCCTCCTCATCCTTACCTCCCACCTCGCGGTTGTCCCAGCGGCCTCTGCGAGCCGTCCCTCCTGGCCGCCCGCCCTCCTCGTGCAAGACAGCGAGACGATGCTGACGACCCAAAGCGAATGGCAGACCAACACGAGGTGAATCAACTGCAACCGTGGCTAACTATACTGGACAATAGATCCCAACATTCGGTGGCACGACATGCCATGCGCTTGTTGGGCATGGGGCAACACGATGGTCGGAAAGACATCACAGAGGTAGAGGGGAGGGCAAAGCAAAAGGAGCGCAAACACAGACGACGATTGGTGCCACAATTCCCTCGTCCCTCCTTCTGGTCACCCTTCTTCGTGTCCTCCCCCCTCCCTCTGCCTCCCCCCTCCTCCCTCCCCGACATCCTCCCTCATGATTCCTGGCCTCCTCCCTCCTGCCTCACCCTCGTCTCCCCATCCCCACTAACTACCTCGGCATGTCTCCTCCATCCTCCATCCACGTCCCATTCCTCCTCCAGCATACAGCCCTCCCTCCCATCATACAGCCCTCCCTCCCTCCCTCCCTCCCGAGAAGCACCCAGCGCATCGAATCGCGAAATCGGACCAGATCGGACCATGCCTCGAGTGGACTCGAGTCAGATCGGCCGCGCCAGGATGCACAGCAGCGCCGTGCACGCATCGGGCCCCAGCAGGCCGCCGGGACATCGGAGTCGAATCGGATCGGGCCGGCCGAGGTCGAGACCAGACCAGATCGATCGGATCTGAATAGACCCTGCATCCTTCCTCCTCCCTTCCTTCCTCCTCCCCCCTCACCCTTCCTCCCCTTTCGTTCGCTGAGCCGGCGGCCCCGCTAGCGGATCTTCCTTCCTTTTCGTCCACCCCCTCCTTCGACAACGACAACGGCGATGGCTGCCTCCTGGCGCCTCCCACGACGACGACGGCGACGACAATCTTCAGAAACTGCTGGAGACCTCCAGAAACCGCCGAACCCCTCAAAACCTTCCGAAAACCCTCGGAACCAGCAAATGGACCAAAGCCATTCGAAATCGCCCGAGATCTTTCGGAAAGCGCCCGGAATCAGGCGACGACGATGGCCACAACATGCGGAATCCCCGAGAGACTTCCAAATCATCTGAGCCCTCTAAACCGATCGAGGATCGTTGAAAGGCCTCGAATCCCAAAGCACATATCCGAGGTCCTTCGAGCTACCGCCGACAACGAAGACGACACCGACGATGACGACGACCACGAAGACGACAACGAGGACGACCGCAGCAACGGCGGCGGATGCTGCGGCTGCCTCCAGAGATATCAGTTCTCTAGGGGTCCCCTAGGTCCCCGATGGATCGAATCGACAGGAAGCGTCAAAACACCTCGATCCTTGCGCCCCCTCCTCAAGAATCGACCCCCAGACCTTTTGCCGGGGTGCGCTGTGAGCAGAAACTCAAGGGACACCCAACCGTGGCGAACACGGGGCGCCGAACCGGTCCAAAAACGGTGGAAACCCGCGATCTTCGACCCCTGCACCTCGATCCTCGGGCGAGCTCAACGATCGGCGGCGGCAACGGCAGCAGCGGCGGCGGCGGTTGCGGCGGCGGTTGCCCAGGTACAGCCATCGTGCTACCATGAGGAGCGCGCAACAGGAAACGAAAGGGCTTTTCTGGCCACGGCGAGCCTCGGCCACGAACAGGTTCCCCGACTGATGTTGGGAGCGGCCCAGAGGGGGGGGTCCAAGAGGGGGGGGTGCAAGTCATGACCGGCGGCATGTGCGCGGCCCAGCGGGGGGGCCAGGGACAAAATGAAACAAGAAGAGGCGCCATGAAATCTGGGGAAATGACATGGCCCCCGCCATGATATCCACCCCCCCCCTAGTCATCACCCCCCTCTTTTCCGCCCCCGATTAAGAGACGGCCCGAAAACCAGAGCCCCTCCTCCGCCCGAGGTGGTCTTTACTTCCAGCATCTTGGCTGTCGGGGTCCCCACAGGACCCAGGAGGTCAACGGCCCAGACAGGGCCTGCAGCGCCCGAACGCCCCCAGAAACCTCCGCATCCCGACGAGGGCCGCCACGTCGTCGACGACGACGACGACGTCGACGACGACGACGACAACCACGAACACGACGAAGAAGACGACGACGCCCCCTCGGACCGAGCCCTCCTCGATCCTCGATCGAAGATATGGCAGCGGCGACTACGACAGCCTTCGATCACGAGAACGACGACTACGACGACGCGGCGAAGACGGCGGCGGCCGCCCTCCCCCTGGCGATGGGCGGACCGCGCCGGGGCGGAGGCCGCGGTGCACATCCGCCGCCACGCCCCGGCACACCGCCCTTTGCGAGGAGCCAAAGGGGGCAGCCGCGGGCGCGGTCTGGAGGGGCTCTTCGCCGTCGTCGTCGCCGCCGTCGTCGCCTCTTCGTCGCCGCCGTCATCCTGATCATCGTCGACGTCATTCTAGTCGTCGTCGTCTTCGTGAGTCGCCCTCATAGTCGTCCTGATCGTCTCCGTCGTCGTCTTCGAGGGTCGTCGTCGTCGTGGGTCGTCGTCGTCGTCGTCGTCGTAGTGGTCGTCGTGGTCGTAGTCGTCGTCGTCGTCGTGATCGACGGTTTTCGTAGTCGACGACGAGGGGATAGGTCGAGGTCGTTGTCGCAGTTCGCAGGTTTCACGAGGAATTCGGGGGCCTCGGATAGTCGACGTCGTCGTCGACTTCGTCGAAGTCGGGCTCCAACACGCGCACGAGCGCGGAGTGCACGCGGGAGGAGGAGGAGGAGGAGGAGGAGGAGGAGGAGGAGGAGGAGGAGGAGGAGGAGGAGAGGGAGGAGGAGGAGGAGGAGGATCAGGAGAAGGAGGACGGAGGAGTAAGAGGAATTAGGACGAGGAGGCCCAGGAGAAAGGAGGAGAGAGTAGAAAGGAGGCGGAGGACGAGGAGAAAGCCACGAGTGAAAAGTGTTCCGACGTAAGCGGTACACGGCGGCCTCGTGTTGCGACGACGTGCGCGTTGGCTTCCGAGACCGCTTGCATCATGTACTCCTGTGCGGAATCTGCATCGATCGCGACATGCCGATCGCGCAGGACCGTAGGACCGTTGGGCACCGGGGCCGACTCCGAGCCAGTGGCGGCGCTCAACCTGACAGGCCCGCGCCGGGGGTCGCCGCCGCAGCCACACGGCGGGAACCTGCCCCGTGCCTAGGGGCTTCTGCCGGGACTGGATCTTCATCCCAAGTCATTTGAAGGGGCCCTGGGACACACAAAAAATACACACAGATAAAAGGATTTCCAATCGTTTCCTCGATTTTCTGGGTTTTTGTCTTGCCCCCCACTTCCCATATTTTCCCACATTTTCCTGGGACTCGAGGATTAATTGTGTCTGTGTGTGTTTCTTCCCTCCTGAAAGTCATTGTCTGACGGTCCGGGGGTCCCGGGGGGGCTCCCTGGGAGGCCGGGCGACAAATCTCAGGATCCCCTTCCGCGCGGGACGCCTTCTCCTCCCGGCGAGCAGGCCCAGAAGAAGAACTAAAGTTCGCGCAGGCCATCGCTCAGACGTCCATTCCCTGTGCTTTTTTCTGTTTCGTGCGTGGTTTTTTTCGCCAGATGGTCGAGGATGCTCCTCGAAGGTCCTCGCCGAGAAAAAAAATGCACACGCCCGAGCGATGCCAAGCGCTCAAGGGGGGGCAGCGGCAGAAGCGGGGAGGGGCTGGGAGGAGCAGGCGGGGTCGGCGGGCCGAGGAGGCATGCACGAATAGGCCGTCTGCGCTCCCTTTTCCCGACAAGCGGGGCCGCGAGGCCCTCCCCGAGCGCTGTGGAGACGGGGCGAGAAAGCGACCACAGCCACTGCTGTTCTTTTCTTAGGGGGAAAACAAACCTACCTCGCTTTTGACCACCCTCGCTTCCACGAGATACCAAGCGATGCCAAACTACGGCCTGTACTGGTCAGGCCGCTTGACGAGGAGGCGCGTGGTATGACTTGGTTTTGCCTGGAAGCGAAAGCGGGGTAGGTAATTCACGCTCTGATTTGTTGCCGCCTTCCAGCCAGCAGAAACAAAGCGGTGGCTGTGGTCACTTTCGTGAAGCTCGGCACCAGGGAAGTGACCACAGCCACTGCCTCTTTTTCGGCCGGCTGGAGGGCGGCGCAAACAAAAAGCAGTGGCTGTGGTCATTTTCCCGTCCCGCAGTGGAGCGGGGGCGAAACGATGCAGAGACCCTGCCCCTCTGGCGGCTCGAGCACTCGGCGCCGGGCGCTCCTTCGCAGCTCCCTGCGCCCCGAGATTGTTCTTGTCGGGCCCCAGGCTGCCAACGACCAAGAGCTCAGGAGGACACGCCGGCCCAGGGGAGGGGATCGGGACCTCCAGGGGCCGGCGACTCGATGAGCTCGAGCCGTCGGAGGTCTGGGGAGGAGCGCGAGAGAGAGAGAGAGAGAGATAGAGAGAGAGAGATAGAGGGGGAGAAAGAGGGTGCTGGCAAGGAATGCGCGCACGCAATCCACCCCCTCAACAGGATCGGATGGGGTGGGATGCTCCTGTGCGCGTTCGCGATGCTCGTGTCCCAGCCCACCCCAAGCTGCCTCGGCTGCGCCCGAGAGTGAGCTCCCTCCTCGTCTCTACCCCCATTCTGCCACCATGAAAAGAAGGATGATGATATGCGTCGCATCCGCAAATCTCTCGCTGTGCGACTCTGGGTGTCGGGGCCTCGCGCCGCGACTGAGAGAGAGAGAGAGAGGCGGGGAGGAAACGTGCACCGAGGCTCTCACACGAGGCCTGTCATGCCTAGCGTGCGATACACCGCGGGGCTGCACCCCGAGCAGCCACGCCCACAGCGCCGCTCCTCCGCCCCCCTCCCTGACGCCGCCGCCGCCGCGTCTGCTGCCACTGCGGCCGAGGCTTGCAGCGGATGCTTGCACTGGCGGCATCTATACTGGAGCCAGGCACGGGCTGGGCTACGTAGTAGAACCGGTGGTGGTCGCCAGGGTGGTGGCGCTGGGCACCACCAGCCCTGGCAACCAGCACCGGCTGCAGATTTCGTGCCCTCCAGTTTCCCAATCCCACCGCCCTTCGTCCGATCCGAGAGGAGGGAGGGGGTAGGAAGAGGCGGCAATCGACTCTTGCAGGGGGTTTTAGAAGGCGGCCCGAAAGTTTCGGGTTCCCTGAGAGGCAGGGATGCACAGGGGCAGCGACCCCCCCCACCCCCACCCTGCGCTTGCATTGGTGCGGACTGCATCAGCAAGGAGCCCATCAGATCAAGTGCTGCTTGGATACCGTCGCTTCTCAACCAATGGATGATCCTGGCAGCGGCCGGGCCTGCATGCAGTGCTCCCCCTCCTCCTCCTCCTCCTCCTCCGCGCCATCCTCCTCATCCTCCTCCTCATCATCATCACCTCCTCCTCCTCCTCGCCAGAGGCGCGCAACGCACCAGCGTAGGCGTTCTGACGTTGAACCCCTTTATGCGGATGTCCTTGTCCTCCTCCTCCTCCTCCTCCTCCTCCTCCTCCTCCTCCTCCCTCGCCTCCTCCTTCTCCTCCTCCTCCTCCTCCTCCTCCTCCTCCTCCTCCCTGTCGCCTGCCAGGGCCACGAGAGACGTGCCCTCGACTTCTGGTCGGGCATCGGCCCCAGTGGTCGGTCCCTCGGTCCCGCCGCGGCTTGCAGGGGTCTTGTGCTGCCGCAGGCCGCCCGAGGATCTGAGATGTCGAAGGTGGCACTGGACGTCCTCCTCGTCCCGATCCCAATACTAGGGGAACAACAAGTGGCGTAAACATAAAAACTCGGAGGTCCGCGCGGATTTCTCAAATCGGCGCTGGACCCCCCTTCATGGCGCGCGGAGCGCGCCAGGGGCGGCGCCAGAGGCGCCGCTTGGGGGCCCCAGCGCCGATCCGAGAAATCCGCGCGGACCTCCGAGTTTTTATGTTTGTGCCACTTTTGTTCCCCTAGATACGGCGAGCGCGTTGGACAAGGAACCCTTAGATAAGGAATCCAGGGTCTGGAGGCCAGCGGAACTCCCATCGCGGATCGGCCATGGGCATCACCGCCGCCCTTGTCAGAGAACAATCCCTCCAAGGTCCGAAGCCTCCCGTGCACGTTCCTTACCGAACGCCCCCTCCGTAGGTCTCCCCTGCCAACCCTCGCTCCGCCTTCGCCACCTCTTCCTTCCCGTAATGCTCCGCCTGCCGCTGCGTCTCTCCCTCGCGTACAGCTGCGGCTCTCCCTCGCGATGCCCCGGAACGCGTGTGCCCACCGAGGCACTGCGTCTGCACGCGCAGCTTCCTGCATGTGTCTCGCCATCGCTCGGACGTCCATTCCCTGTGCTTTTTTCGGTGGATTCTTCGTCAAATGATCAAGGATGCTCCTCGATGGCCCTCGCCGAAAGAAAGATGCGCACGTCCGAGCGATGCCAAGCGTGTGCCCACCGAGGCACTGCGTCTGCACGCATAGCTTCCTGCATGCGTGCAAGCGTGTCTTCGGCATGTTGCTTTCTGCCGGTGCGCTCCGCCAGGGCGCGGCTCTCGCCTGCCTGCCTGCCTGCTGCGCGCTCCTCCTCCCTGCCCCTCCTGTCCCGCGCGGTGGCGGTCTGGCAATAAGTCGTGCCTGTCCCCCTACAGAGGGACTTTGAACAAAAAATACAAAACAAATGCCCCCCCCAAATACTCAAAAACAGTTCAAAAAATCGTCCCCTCACTTTTTTGAAACTATTTTTGAGCATTCCTCCTGTAGAGGGACAGGTCCGACCTAAGTCTGGCATCGCCTCGCGGCAGCTCCAAATCCTGAGAAACCGAAGCTGCATCTTGGCACTGTCGCCCGCTTTCGAGAAGCGCGAGTCTGCAAGACCACGATGCGGCAAGTGCCGCCTCGTTCGGCGGCAGGAATCCGCGATTTCCCCTGGAAACGGGATCGTCGCATTTTGTAGTGTGTCTGCCGCATCGCCAGACACACTACAAACTCAAAATGGCCTCGCAAAACAAAAGCCCTGATGCTGTGGATTGTACACGTACTGATACGCAGACGGCCGATATGTCCGTCATGGCCTCGTATCTTGTACTACAGTGACGACGCAGAGCGTTAGTGTACGCCTCAAATGGAAGAAGCAATCCCGCAGCCTGCACTCAGAACATGGCACCAGCCGCCAGCCCTGAAGGCCCTACACGAATATCCATGCCGAGCCTGGCCGCAGCTTGTGGAAGACGTCACGGCCCCAGCTTGAACTCGGAAAGCACAACTCCTCTCTACAACAGGCCACCTCCTCCGACAGCGCGTCTAGCCCATGGGTAGCCCACGGACGCTCGCGATGCTATGCCGCGTTCCCTCCTAAGCTAAGCATGCGAGACGTGCTCGCCTTGCGTGGTCTGCTCGGAACCTGGCCCCG